CAGCCCTTTGCAGTGCTGAGTGCTGTGGTTTTATGCAAGGCTGGAGGGAGCAGCTTCAGGGAGCAGAGAGCAAAGTGCAGCTCTCTTCCAGTCCTTGTACAGTGGTGCTGGGATCGGTGCCTGGTATCACCGAGCGCAGTGTGCGTCACGTGCCTGGTGCTGGGGTAATCTTCCATGTAAAACTGCAAGCCAGTGCAATGTAATGTCAATATTCAGCACATCCTTGATTTAAAAAAAAAACTGAATAATTGAACTCTTGCCATTCTAAAGAGTACATTTAGAAAACAAGACATGCTGGGCTTCCTGGAGTCATTTTTTTCCCGAGTGCTGAATCACTTTGCTAAGTGAGTAGAGGGGCAGGTCACCTCTTGCAGACCCTGCATGCCACTTCCTAGAGCTTCCCGTGCTATTCCTTGCCTTTGGAAGGGAGGCGTTGCAGGGAGCTGGCGATCCTGGGGTCTGTGTGCTCCGAGGCTGCTGGGGGCCACGTGTGGGCTGGTCTCAGCCTCAAGCCCCTTGGGTAGTCACTAGGGAGCAACTGGGATTGAGTCCCGGTGTGACGAGTAAGCTGATTGCTGTGTGGGGTGGAGGTCGCTTCTAATTATCCAGATTGCCATCACACTTATCCGGGCTGGCTGCCTGTGATTAGGAGCAGGCTGTAGCCGAGGAATGCTTAGAAACCCAGCCTAATTGATACCCAGTTTCTAGAGCAGCCACAGAGTTTTAGCAGTGAGTGGAGGTGACTGGTGCGCTTGCCTGCAAGATGTTAGGGGTCTCTGTACAACCCTGCTGTCCTGTCCTCCTTTGCACCTACACATCTTGCTAAGTTTGGGGACAGTGGTCCCTGTCCTACTTGTTACCTCTGCTCCCCCCGTGCCCTTCTGCCTCTTTCAGGGTCTGTGCATGCTATGGGGTAAATGCAGGTAAATGGGGTAAATGTTCCTGTGTAAAAACCTGCATAACTTTGTCTACACCTGAGAACCACATAACTCAGTACATGCAGCTTGGCCACGTCGTTACAGTTCTGTTTATCCCACTTCCTTTTCCCCGTTTTTGGTTAAAATGTTTGTCAAGTCTCTGCTCTTTGCTTGCGGAGAGGAGCTGAGCAGGCGTCTTAAAGAGCATGATAGACTGGAGCAGGGGTAGGAGCTCCAAACCTGAGCAGCGTTTAGGGGAGGCTTGGAGGACAACTGGGCTTGATCTCTAGCTTTGGAGATCAGATGAGTCAAGGAGGTTGGGCTTTTGTTTGTGTTTAGTTCTGCAAGGTCCGCTCTGAGATTAGTTTTCTGCAGAGTTGTTCCTTTGCAAGCAGGATGTTTCTGCACGGATGCCAGGGCCTAGCAGAAGAGCAATTGAGCATGTTTTGAGATAGGTGCTCTTAGTGCTCTTGGTAATTATTAAGTGGCTGTTACCTTCACTCCAGTGGTGGGGAACAAAGTGGCTCTCACCTTGATGGGCTCCGCAGAGACCTCGTGTCCAAATAGCTGGACTGAGATAGCAAGTGAACCGAGACCTGGCATTTTTCCCTTGGGGCATTAACTCCTTATTTACCGCTCCATGCTTTCCTTTCAGCTTTCCTGCCTGCAAAGTCATTGCTGTAGTTGGCATTTACTCCTTTCTGAATTTGCCAGGCTGCATTGCCTGAGTTTTAAAATCAATTCCAGAGTTTAAATGTGAGAAGCGCCTCTGCTTGCTCACTGCGGGCAGGCCCTGGGGAAACACATAGATGCATCATGTGGTGGGTGCTGCTGTCCACAGCCTTTATTCTTCAGACTGTAAAATCAGGGTGTTCTTGCCATTCTCTAGTTCACTTTAACAAGATAAAAATACAAGATAGTATCACTGTAAAAGAGGGGACCCTGGGGGTATCCCAAGTACAGGTGAGTAATTCTGTGTGCTTTGCAAAACTCTGCTCTTTAATTTGGGCCATGCACTGAAGTGTGGTAGGAGAGTTGGCTCCCGCCCCGGCTTGGCTGTTCAGAGCCAGGTTCTGGAGCACAGAGGCCAAAGGGGAAAGGACGTGCTTTTCCCTAGTTCTTGCATGCAGACTTGTACCCAAGAATGTCTTTATTGTGTACATAAACTGTTTCAATTTTTCTCTACCTAGGCGTGAAAAGGTCGTATTTCCCACCTTGGTCATGGGTAAATGAATTCATTTGCAATGATAAAGCTGCATGCATTTTAACTCTGGTGCTTGGAGGTGCAGACTCAGTGATTACGCTAACAGCATGGAGTAGCTCTCCTAGCTCTACAAACTAACAGGCAATGATCAAAGCCCAAGGCCACAGTGTCTCCCTCCCTCCTTGTTAGATGAACCTCTCTGGTCTCTTGACCCGTTCAACTGTAAGGCTGCTGCGTGCTGCTTGCTCTCTGGTCTAACACCCTGCCAAGAGGACCCTTTCTGACCAAGCTGGGTGCAGCAGGGAGAGCACGCAAAGTGAAAAGGGAGCCGCTGGCAGCGGCCGTGCCAGCAAAGCTGCTCGGGCAGCCCCTCCGCGGCGCCGGGAGGGCCCGGGGCGCCTGGCGCTGGGGCCGTCTCGCTCAGCCCCTCTTGGGAGAATGCAGGGGGTTCCCATGAGGGCAAAAGGTGCCCTCCCAGCTTGAACCTGGCCACAGATTTATCTCTGTCTCCTTCCTCGCATCTTGAGGACATCCCTGTACCTCCTTGTGCTGTTACTGCTGCTTGGGGGACTAAGTGGCCTGTTTGAAGGCTCTGATCTGTCTGGAAAGTCGCTTTTCCTCTTGCTTTCTTGCTGAGCTAGTCTCCATACGTGCTTTGACCACATCCATTTAGTCCTTAGGCTGGCTCGCTCAGCCCCAGAGAGGATCTTCTGCCCAGGTTTTGCTCAGTATTTACAGCTCAGAAGGCCTCGTGTAAGAGTATTAAATGCAGAACTGCTTTAAATATATATTAATTCATTCATTTGTATCTTTAATAAGCTACAGAACCCAAATTTGATCCAGTGAAGTTTGCAGAGCGCAAACTAAATACAAGTGATTCGGAGAGAGTGGTTAGAAGTGGACATAA